ACAGTCGAGGCGTTGACCTGAGGAACCATAAGTAAGGAACGAGGCCCCTATTTTCCATTAGTTGAACTTCGATTCCGCATCGAAAACCTGAGGAAAATCCACGGCAAGCTGCGAAACTATTGAGGAGCACGGAGCCCCTCCCCAACGAAAAGGGTTCCTTCTTCAGGGCCCCGACAGTAGGAGGCCGAGGCTCTTTACAGGCTCTGTAGCTTCTTGCTGCCAGAGGGTCCCCCCGATGGCCCCCGCAAAGCAGAGCCGCTGACAGCGCAGAAGGAGGACCTGCCATCGCTCGGACGTCCATTCCCCGTGCGTTCTTCGGTTTCGTGCGCGTGTTTCTTCGCAGGACGATCCAAGCTGCTCTTCGACGGTCCTCGCCGAGAGGAAGACGCACACGTCCGAGCGATGCCAAGGGGAGGGGGGGGAGAGGAGCACGAGGAACAGCAGCAGGCGCCCTCGATTCGTCCTTTAGGCGAACAAAAAGTGACATAAACATATCAACTCGGAGGTCCGCGCGGTTTTCTCGGATCCGCGCTCGAGCTCCGCCACCTCGGCGGCGGCTCGAGGCAGCCGGTGCCGGAGCTGGCAGGCGCGGGGCTCGACGGGCGCAGCTCGTGCCTCTGCTCGGCTGGGACTCTGGCCGCCGTGGCTGCAGCTCTGGCCAGTGCGTTAACGGCAGCTGTATTCAACATTGTCATAGATGCATATTTAAGATTATGTTCTGAAGTTTGCTCGACCAGTGACAATCGATATTCAAATGTTACGAGTTGAGATTGGCCATTAACTCCAACGTTGATAAAAATATGAGTGAATCACCAACAGCATCTTGTTCTCGACCAGGGCTGAACCTAAACCATGTTCTTTGTTTTCGTTATGTTTTCGTTTCCCCTCGCTTCGTCTCCCGTCCGCCTCCTAACGCACAACGAAGTCGAAACGAAAACGGCCCACGACTTCGCCAAGAACACCGTTTAGGTCCACCGCTGCTCTCGAACTATATCCACGGTGGGACATTGTGACAGATGATCCGCTCACCCCTCCAACTGAGGGGCTTCCTTGACCACACGAATCTCGGCTGACAATGCCGGGGAACCTCGATCCTCGTCCCCTTCACCTTCTCCCTCCTCCTCCTCCTCCTCCTCCTCCTCCTCCTCCTCTTCCACCACCTCCTCCTCCTCCTCCTCCTCCTCCTCCTCCTCTTCCTACGTCCGCTTCCTCCTCCTCCTCCTCCTCCTCCTCCTGCTACTCCTCCTTCTATGGCTCCCTGCCCCGAGCCATCAGGCCCCTGCCGATATACCACGCCAGATGTGAGCGCTGGCGCCGGCAGCGCTCTCTCCTCTCTAGGCACGGCCTGCCGCGTCCCCAGCGACATGGCCGTCCAGAAAGTTGTCTGTCAGCATTCGCGTGCGTGTGGGCGGTCCTGGCCACAGCGAACCCTACTCGGCGAAATCGACGATCGTGCGCGCGCGTGTGTGTGCGCGTGAGGCAGGGACGCCTGAAACATCACCGTGCAAGACTACGAATTGGGCGAGGGCTCCGATGCCCCAAAAAAGCTCGGTCGACTTCCACCGCGTTGAGATGCGCCGACCAGCTTTCTTGCTGGCATTGGGCATCGACGCGCGTCCATTGGGCTGGGATGAGGAAGCAGAACCAGAAGCATTCGCCAGCTGCTGACTGCACCACCGCCCGATGGCACAAATCATAAGACTGTTTGCGTGCTTGGGAGGCGGCCTCGGCGCTGCATGAGCATATCCCAAAGCAGCGCAGCGGAATGTCTGCCTCGTCACAGCCTCGCCGGCGCTGGTCGGACTCTGAGTAACGAGCCTCCTTGCGACGACTGGCGGGTCAAGCCCCCCTCCCGCCGCGCAGAAATGACCAACAGGGGCTCCGCCAGCCCCCGCTCGAGTCCGCGCAACAATTTCCTGAAATTAAAATTGCTGGTGCCTCCCTCCATGCCAGCTCCGCAAAAGCCAGCCGATACAGTTCGCCACTGGTCGAGCTGAAGAATATCGTACAGTCCGTTTAGCATCTCGTTGGCTTCGTCAGCGCCGTCGAGACCTCGATTGACAACCCAGCCGTGCGCAATGGCACCTGAGCCTGTCGGAATGGCCCGCTCGACTTCGGGCTGAGGGTCCTGGCCAGCTGCTAAAATATACCGAACGGCTGCAGCCATGAGGCCTCGAACGCGCCTGGCGCGATGGGCAGGATCGGGCAGCACTTGCCCGACCGCCTCCTAACAGACAAGCAAGACAGGCCCCTGTATACGAGGTTCACTGGTCCATGCTCGCAGCCACATCGCCAGGCACTGCCTTGGTAGGTGGTCGCCTGAGTCGGCGCAGAGGCACCTACCGCGACGGTGACCCCCTGCAACAATTACCAACCTCCGTCGCAAGACCGTGATGGGCGTCCTGGGGGGCCCGTGAACGTCATGGCCACAATGAGCCCACGCCTGGGGGGCCGCCATCTCGACCCACCCAACAAGCACATTGAGTCTCGGTGATGCTGC